AATCCGGGTTTCGATACCCGTGGTGGGCAGAACACAGATAGCCCATCGCGTAGCTTTGTGCTTAATTACAAACAAACAAACTATACGAAAAGTAAAGTAAATAACCACTCGTACAGTCATAAAACTGATATGTTGATTATGGTTTCCTTATGTATCTTGATTAAATACTAATTACCCACTGCAAACCTTTTGTTCTTGGTTTTCTATTTCTAAGGAGAATCTACTAATGTAGGATCGGCAGTAGCAGCCTCTTTGGCTACATTGACTAATGACCCAGAAGCAATTGGTGATGGAACGATGGAAGTGACATACGGGCCAGAATTTTCCGAGTTCTTTTATTCAACGAATACTAGCATGCCTTTTGCCAGCAACCAGGCAGAATATTTCTTAACAGACTTGCTGGCTGATGACGATCTACAGCTGATAAGTATGCCTCCTTCCACTGAATGTGAGTTACTAGGGCTCCATTTCGAAATTCTCGTTTTGTTTGTTAAAGATATCCTGTTCCTCACGTATTTTTAAGACTTAAAACACCCAGTTTTTAATTATTTAAAGTGAGTATAAACAATACATTCTTAGTTTCTCACTTGGTCATTGATTTTTTTACCTAACACAGAATTGAGTTGTAAGACCTTTCACCAATGAGCAATGAATAAATTGTTTTACGTTTGTTCACTGAAGCACATTCTACTCAAAATTGAAGAATATTAAAAAAAAACGGTTAACTCCATCAAGAAAGTCATGCGAAGTGTTGTTTTTTTTATTAGATCACGGATATCACACACAACTGAAAACCTCAGAAGAAAAAGCAGAAATCGGTAACAATTCAGCTGTTTCATCAATGAGGATGAATAGAGTACCATCTATATCAGATGCAGTGAGTAAACCATAATGATTTTCATTGTTCAATAACGAATTTGCTCTGTTATTGCTGTTTCCTAGCATGAGACATTCATTAAAGAAAGGTATGGATATGATCTAATAAGAGAAAACCTGCAGAAACATTATATATGTGTTATTTCATAACTTAATTTCTAGTTGTGCTGTAGACCAAAATAGCTTAAAATAACCATACCTGAGAAACTGGATGTATTTAGAAAGGTATGTAGCAATATTTACAAGAAAAGATCATCTTATTCCTGCAGAATGAAAGGTGCAATCTGAAAGACTTGCACATGATCCATGAGCTCCTACAGTGCCTGATTTTAGGTTGCCGTCACAGAAGTTCTGTTTAATTAATACTTAAACATGTGCATGGAATGACAAACTAAAAGTTTAACATTTTTTGCACAAGTATAATAAGAGCTTATTTTTAATTAGGCCGCTTATGCATTTCACAATGCAGTTTTTTTTCGTGATAATAAATAACAGCTTAAAAATTGTTTTTATC